CCGCGCGGAGCGCGGCCGGTCCCACGGGCAGACGCAGCAGCAGCAGCACTGGGAACCAGGTCCCAACCTGCCCCTGAATACCTGCCCACGCCTGGGGCTGCGTCCAGACTGTCCGCTATCTCCCGCTCTCATCAGCACATTTACTGTACCAGTCTGTTGGCTCTCTGCCATCCACACACATTTCTGCTTCATTTACAGGGAGAACTCCACAGGTAGCAGAGAGAAAGGGGGACGATAATGCACGGATGGCATTGCTAGGGGGAAAAAAAATTACTACTTGTGGGGGTCAAGCATGTTTGACCTTTACTGAGAACACCCACTGCTACGCTGGGAGGTGCACGTACACAGTACCACCCATTCAGCCCGCTGGCTGGTGCAAACAGGCCCATCGACAGGTCGCTTTCAAGGCTACCGGCACTGTGGTGGGTCATCAAAGCATATCTACGTTCATTTCCATTGAAAGGATCTGAGAGAAGCCGTGTTTGAAGTGATATCTCTGTGCAACTGCATTCTTTACTGCGCTGTCACGACTTGAATTACACAATTAGAAAAAGAACACGGGCATGTAGCCAGTGCCACCACCCTGACTGTGTCTCTCCACCATGTGAGCCGCCACTGCAACCTCCGTTGGACCAGTGAAAGTACCGAACTCGGCTTATTCACAACAAACGTTGTGTTCAGTCAGTTCGAAGATCAAATTATCCACTGAATTAGTGATAGAAGCAGAGTCAGAGTCACTCCTCACCTGTTTAACGCTCTAATGTCAGATTTGGACAATCGCTCCAGTTCTTGGAGCTCATCCCAGATCATCTGTAAAAGACAGAGACAAGAGGATTTAAATAACCTGGACAGAAGCTCATTCAAATGTCTAAAACTCTGTAGAGTACATTAGGTTCCAGGACGGGTGTTGTTAAGAAACACTCTCAGGACAGGTTTTACCATCAAACCTTTGTCAATCATTTTCATGAACATTATTTATGACCCTAAAGATTTTTGAATCTTGTTGTTCAACTTTAAACTGAAGCATCATAAAAAAAAAAAAAAAACACTATTGGAGTTATCCTAAAAGTGAAAAAAACTTTCACTCAAAAATTTGAAAGGAAAGTCCCTAGATGCAGAAAAGAGGTCATGACCCCAGAAATCTACTAAGAAATATTCACAAAAACATCACTGCTTTCAGAAGTTCTTGGACTAAATGGAGGATACTGTACATAAAGGAATTACAATATATACCGCTTTTAATTATTATTCCTTATTTGTCTTGAAACTTTTTTGACTTAAACTTGAGAAATATAAACCATTATTCCTAAGAAATAGCTAAATAGTAGATTAGTGATTAAGTACTTAAGGAGGCAGGCAGGCCTGTGCAAAGAAACCCTGGCCTGTGGCCATCATGACACAATCGCTGTTATTCTTCATTCATTATATGATGGTAAGAGACGACGGTTGTAGAAAATGACACAAAAAACAAATCAAATAACTGTGCGAAGAATCAGATCTACGAGAATTCACAACAAAGGGCTGCCTCATTCCAAGAAAGGAATCAGCTGCCCCAACTACCACCACGTCGGGTTGTATTTTTAATGCTCTTATTCAAAGCTGGTTTCATAATGAGCACATGACTCGTTATCTACACAGACGTTTGAAAAGTTGAAAGTAGCTCCGTACATAAACTTAGCTCTGATTTATCTAAGTCAAAATTCAGTCATCAAGCCTGTGTGGCCACTGTACCCAGACACCTGTTGGTTTGTTTCTTAATGAAGTGGTGCTGTTTGGACCACTGACAGCATGTGTCCTTCTTCATCCAGTTATGGACTCCCAGCCACTGAGTTTCACTGTCCCAGACCTGTTACCCTGGAAACGAAAGTAGTGTTTCCGAGTGACACAAAGAGTGAATTTAAGAACCTCCTTTCAGAGCGAAATCTCCCAGTGTCGAGGGGAAAACAGCAATAACAGGATGGCGGGGTAAGAAACTGGATACTGGCATTTGGCCTCCAGAGTTTTAGAGGACATGGTAAAATAATTCTGTCCTCCTCTCTCTCCCTCTTAGCCGCATGGCACCACGTAGGCAGCCGTCTGCTACTTCCATTTCTTCCTTCTTTTTAACTCATATTCCATGTGTTTTAAGGTTGTTTTGTACTGAACCAAATGAGTTGTCATGTTCACAAGACGGCTATGTCTCTAAGCTAAGCCTCCAGATGAGGTAATGTTTACAGGGTTAGCTGAGGTGGGGGCTCTCTCTAATATTGGACCCCCCTCTGTGTGCTGAGATTACTGCCTTATGAAAAACTGCCCCTGCCGACACGCCTGATGGGATCAGAGCTTCCTGCCTGCTGCATCCTTCTGCTTCCAGGTATGAGCTCCCAACACACATGGGACACAAAACACACACGCACACTCACCCAAACTTGTCAAGTACACATCGGTACTTCAAAAAAAAAAAAAAGGACAATCATGTGTGTTAAGACAGAGTATGTGCAAAGGTGATTTTCATGCCTATGTTAACACAAGGATGTCCAAAGTACAGGACGGGGACAGCCAGGGGACATGGACTTCTTTCCTTCATTTCTATTTATAGTCATCAGGTTGGTAAATATATTTATTAAATATATTATAAATTTCTTCGCCTTTAAATAGTTATATATATATATATATATATATATATATATTTAGCTATATCTGGTATTTTTAAATGCCGTGTCTTAGTGACGGCTAACTAAAAACTACAAACACAATTTCCAAAAACATTTCTATATCCCATTAATTTAAAACATGTTATTGTTTGCACTTTTAATATTTTATATTCATACCAAAGGATATCATTTAAGTTATCTTTTATTATAATATCTTAAATACAGGACAGTCCTTAAATACCAACACATACGGTATATTTACATCTGCAATCAACAAGTCATGACAAAGTCTGTCAACCTAGTAAACAACCTTCATTTCTGTAAACGGTCGATGCAACACAAAATCAAATGCACGCTCACTTGCTTTTCTTGAGGTTTTCTCCTCCGACTGTTCTCACATGAAGATCATGGAAAACAACTGAGAATCTCCAACCAGGAAAACATCAACATGCAGCATTTTAGACTTTCAGAGGTAACACTTTAAGGAGATCTGAACATAAGTAATCTATCGACGAGGTTCAAGCTACGGTTAAGGTTGAATTTAATCATTTGATATCATTTCTGATGGTCCATTAGTCTAAAATAAAGCTGTGATTATTCGTGGTGTGTTTACAGAACGCTGCAAACAAATCTTAAACAGACCTGCGGCCGCCCTCCCCCTCCCCAGATGTCTAATCGTAACTTAATCAGTGGTTTTACTTTTTTGTACTCTTTCCTAAATTAATCTTATTTGAAACCAAACATGAACTGAATAAAAACAGCATTTTGGTTTCTTCATCCATGCGACAGACGGCAAATACTTCAGGTTCTGCTGTTGAGCAACAGCACTAATGAACTTTACAATTCATCTGCTCAAACTGGAAGAAAAAAAGAAAAGAAAAAGAAAATGGAGGTGTTTATATAAAGCATGCAGGCTCCAGCACGCTGGGACCCGGGACACTGGCACAACCTTGCGCCAGTGGTCCTTTAACCAGTCATGTGAAATGACCCGTTCATTTCTGCAAATCAGATTACATCTCCAAGCCGAGGCCTGAAAGTCCCCACACGCATTATCAAAGCTCTGGGCTCAGGTCCGTGCAACTAGGCACACACACACACTAACAAACACACCACACAAACACACCACACAAACATACTACACACAGCCTAATCAGATTTTTCCCCCACAAACCTTGTTGTCTCTGCTCGTATGCCACCTGTATCAGCCATACCCGAAAACAGGGGCACAAAAACCCAACAGTAGACTGAGACAGGACATAGTGAGTGTGCAGTGGGTCATGTACGTACACTTCACTAAATCAAGTGCAGCTGAGGCCACAGATTCCCCTGAATAGGATCAAAACAAAGCCAGGTCTTTGTTAAGGTAAATCATAGGGGGATGTGATAAGCCTCCTTTCAGCAGCGCCCGACTGCTGTTTAGCAGCTCCGCTGTGGAATGAGCACAAGTGGAAACATGTTTATGATGTGTTTGGTGGAAACGCAAATGATAGATGATTCAGAAATGATTCAAGTCCCGCTTACATTCACCCAGAACTGGTGTTTTACAGCGGAGCAAACCTCTTCTCTAATCAGCCGCTGGCCTGTTTTCACACATCTGGATTATTACTGTAATTAACTAAGTTACACTTTGTTTTACATGGTGATACAAATGGATCAGAAATGACCACCATACAGCTCCTGAGTATTATTTTGACAGTGTTGATCAGCTGTTTTCAGATTTACTGGCCTGGATGTGCAGCTATCCAAGTTATCTGCTCCAACTGTTTCCCTCTAAGCAGCTTGTTGGCCGGCTGATGGTGACTGGTCTGCTTAATCAGACCCAGACACTTGGAGGAGGTACAAGGCTCTATCCCTGGAGGCTCTGCACTAAGACTGTTGATCAGAAAGCTCTTTAAATTGATCAACATCTCCTTTTCGACTCGTTTGTCTTTGTAGTTTTTTTTTTTTTTTTTGCACGATATATATGATGAAACTGCTGCTCATCATTTTAACAAAGTCAGCTTTGTTGCTCATCCTTTATGGTCCCATTCCCCCTTGATCCCATTGAAGTCACAGGGTGGGAAGTTGTGGGTGGCAGGAAGCTGAGATAGTTGAAGTTACAAAGGGGTGTCAGAAATCTGTCAGTCAGTCCAAGTCAACTTCAGCTCATGCGAATCATCTTCGCTTCAGTGACATCGGAGAAGACCAGCCATGAAGGCCAACAGTGAGGGAAGCGGAGGATCGCACCGACTTTCCCCACAGTCCGTCTGCACTGGATGCACAGATAAGATGACAGCAAAGGGAAGATTTCGTCGAGTCAACAGTAGAGTCTGGCTGAGGCTACTGTTACTCCAGGGCTCACTTATCCTCCACATCACCTCCTGTACCTGCAGACGCCAGGATCACATTCACACCTTCACCAGCTCCAAGTTTGGAAGTTGTCTCCAAAGCCACAGCTGTGTTACTTTAACAGCAACTTGATCAAATCAACTGTAATGTAGACGTGCATTTATGAGCTTTGTATTGACTAATGACCGTTGTCAAATTTTAAATATTTGGACTGTTCCCAAATGGTTGTTTTGCATTGCTGTGTAATGATGCCTTAATTCACACTATCTTAGACTTGAAGATCATACTTTCTGAATATAAAAAAGTTAGACTTAAAAATGATCCTATCCTTTCAGAATTAAATACATATTATGGTTAGGTAAAAAAGTAATATAAGATAATACAGTATCTGTGTTTACGTTAAACACACATTTGCTTTATAACAAACAGAAAATACTTAAATATGATTTACTACATAGTTTACACTAGTTTCAGTTCCTTACTGTAAGAGTCCAAATAATAATAATAAAAGCTTAAAGTCCCTAAGCATATAGCTATACTTTACAGTAGCTAAACTGGCTTTTCTCACAGAGGTAAAATTAGTAAAAATATAGCAAAAAGCACCCAGCAAAAAATAGTTAAGAAAAGGGCAAAAATATAAATAAAAATATTACGAACAACTATGAAATAAAAAATGAAACAGATTAATTCTCCTTCCTCGGTGAACTTACAGTAATAAGAGGGAAAAAAGCCTTAATTTATGTGTTGGATTTTACAAGGTGAGAAGTGAGGAGCCAGCTCAGTTTAGCAACACCAGCAGTGATGAATCATCTTGTCAGTCTACAGTCTGCTTGGCCCATTACCAGCACT